CTGGACTTTAAAGGATTTTAAGGTCAGTTTGTAGGTTTGGTTAATGCCATATATTTCGCCACAGCTGCAGCGACCTACCATGGTTTACCACGTTGTCATTTGCGACCTACTTTTTTAGTGTTCATGTGTGCACGCTGCACAATTATCAGTGTCCGTGACCATTCAGCTTATCTGACTATGAGCACCAAAGCAGATAAATTCTGTTTATTGTACACATACATAACTACTACTGATTTCTTATTTTATTGCATGTTTGTCACACTTTAATATTTCAGATTGAACTAATTTAAATATTAGTCAAGGATAACACAAGTAAACGCATCATGCAGTTTTTAAATGAAGGTTTTCATTATTAAGAGAAAACAAAACTATATAATCCTGTGGAAAAACTGTGCAAATTAAGCAGCACTGTATAAACTATTTTAGCACAAATGCATATCTGAATTATTGTTATATTTTGCTATATGTTGTTTAATTGCAAATTTATTACACACATGCATAAAGGCCAGCATAATACGTGTAAGAAATACTACTTTGACAGGGGATATAAACCAGGCCTGGGCATAATTGATCTGATCATATTTAATTGGCAAATTTAATCTGATCTAAAGCTAGGGTAGATGATCCAGCCATGCAGAACCAGTGGGAAACCAAGGTAGAACAATTAGATTCAAATGAAAATGGAATGTTTGTTCCTGGTATAAGAGCAAGGGTGAGTGTGTAAGAACATTGCAGGTTCTTTGAGCATTTAGCTACCGTATGCTTCACCCTTGTTTTTTTTTTTTTACTATTGTAACATATTTGTAAATATCACAGTCATTACTCTTCTCATAAACTCATTATTTGATTCACTTATGGTTTGAATGTTTCTGCAGATGTTTACTTTAGCTCACTCACTGGCCACTTTATTAGATACACCTGTCCAACTGCTTGTTAACGCAAACTTCTTTTTTGTCACATGAGTTTTTATTTGGTCATTGAATAAACTTTCAATAATCACAGATTCCAGGATTAGTTTTCTGATATGCATACATTTACAAAAACTAAGCAAAAACAAACACCCCAAGCCCCGCCTGTAAGTTTACAATAGAGTGATAATCATAACAACTTTTTAGATACATTGCTTTGGGGGGGAAATTCCCCATAAAGTGACAAAAGAAAGGGCCCAAAATCTTCTGAAATTGTGAAAATTGTGTCTCTTAAAATATAACTGGTTCGTTCCAAGTGCAGAGTAGATATCAATTCTTCAAGCCATAGTTTGGCAGTTGGAGGATTAACATTTTTCCAGTACAATAATAGCAGCTTTTTGGCTGTAATCAAACAATTTGTAAGGAATTTCTGTTGTGCACTGCTCAATAATTATGTACAATCAGAATGTCCTAATATAATAAGCACTGGGTCAGGGTCTACGTTTTGATCCAGAACATCTGAAAGCACTTTTAATGCAAACTTCTAATCATTTAATCACATGGCAGCAACTTAATGCGTTTAGACATGTAGACACTTTAAACCGAGCATCAGAATGGGGAAGAAAGGTGATTTAAGTGACATTGAATGTGGCATGGTTTTTGGTGCCTGACGGGCTGGTCTGAGTATTTCAGAAATTAATGATCTACTGGGATTTTCACGCACAATCATCTCTAGAATTTATAGAAATGGTCAGAAAATGAGAAAATATCCAGTGAGCGGCAGTTTTGTGGGCGCAAATGCCTTGTTGATGCCAGAGGTCAGAGGAGAACGCCAGACTGGTTCAAGCTGATGGAAGGGCAACAGTAACTCAAATAATCACTCGTTACAACCGAGGTATTCAGGAGAGCATCTCTGAACGCACAGCTCGTCCAACCTTGAGGCGGATGGGCTACAGCAGCAGAAAGAACACACTGAGTGCCACTCCTGTCAGCTAAGAACAGAAAACTAAGGCTACAATTCGCACAGCCCCAACAAATTGAATAATAGAAGATTGCAAAAATGTTGATTGATTTGATTAATTTTAATTTCTGCTTTGACATTTGGATAGTAGTGTCCGAATTTGGCATCAATAGCATGAATGAATAGATCCACCGTACCTTGTTTCAATGGTTTAGGCTGGTGGTGGTGGTGTTATGGTGTGGGGGATATTTTCTTGGCACACTTTGGGCTCATTAGTACCAATTGAGCATCATGTCAAAACCACAGGCTAACTGAGTATTGTTGCTGACCTTGTCCATCCCATTATGACCACAGTGTACCTTGTGATGGCTACTTCCAGCAGGATAACGCATGTCCTAAAGCATGAATCATCTTAGACTGGTTTCTTGAACAAGTCAATTAACACGGTACTTAAATGGCCTCCACGGTCACCAGAGCTTAATCCAACAGAGCACCTTTGGGATGTTAGAACGGGAGATCTGCAACATGGATGTGCAGCTGACAAATCTGCAGCAACTGCGTGATGCTAACATGTCAATATGGACCAATATGTACCTTGATGAATCTATGTCAGAAAGGATTAAGGCAGCTCTGAAGGCAAAAGGGGTCCAACCCAGTACTAGTAAGGTGTATCTAAAAAAGTGGCCATGAGTGTAGGTTGACAATAGCTATTTTCAGTCTTCATATAGAGAAAAGCACTGACACAACTGTGCTTTTCTTCACCAGCCTCATGAAAGCTTTAGTAAAATGCTGATTTATGTATGACCCCTCTGCCATGTTTTTTTGGGAACGTCACGCTAGCGCTCACCAAAGCCCTCGTAATTGTAGATGTACTGTGAAATGCTGTTCTCATGAGATCAGCAGCTATTTGCTGCATATAATGAAGCAAGTAATCCCACCTTTGCTGGCACAGGATGCACGGTTGATGTTAAAATGTTGATCGTGCTTCGATGTGATTTATTTATCACAATATCAAAGAGAGGGATTTGATCAGGATGGCACGTTACACACGAAAGATCAAAGCATCAGGGACTGCAGCCAGCCTGAAGTGCTGTGTGCTGGTGCAAAATTCGAAGCAAGTGCTGATTATGAACGCCAAGCGTGCTATTAAAGGAGTCTTTGAAAGAAATCAGAGTGGCTGTTGAACAATGGCCACTTTTGAAACTTAATTTAGCAGTTTAGTACATCTCATGTCAATTAAAAGATGAGCACTTAAGGGGGGCCCTAACCAAATGTTAGTACAGGTATCATAAATAAAAGATTGGGCAACCACCTCTGCATGGCTTCTGCATGGGAAACCATCTCTTACAATTAATTCATAAGTCATTAAGTGATTTAATTCTATTATATTCTTGCTTTTTTTAAAATTGTACATGTCTAACTGTAAACAGTGTCCAGCAGATTGGAATAAACGGATATCCTTCATATGGATAGTCATTAAAAAGTCATATGCGGCTTTGTTGATGACTCATCTAATGCAGGCTACCAGCCTCACTTAAGTTCACGTAAGCATCCGGGGGGTCACATCTAATAAAAACACACACATAGTGTGAGGCAAACCACCTTTGAATGAAGCTACTCATTCTTCCATTTAAGTTAAAGAACGGAAGAAAGAAATGAATGTAATTTGGCGACCACATCAGAAAAATTCTGGAAAGGTTTACGGATATGTTGGTCAGACTAAAGAGGAGCCTTTCCCATTGTTTTGCATGCTCAGTGGGCTTTTTGTGCATATGGTTTTAATAGTCTCATTTGTGTTGGACGCATTGTGATTCTCAAATTCACAGAAAACGACTGGGAACAATGACGTGTTCATTTGTGGATACAAGATGTGTTTCTAAACAGTAAAGCATTCAAATAGCAGACTTAAGCATTTTCCTAAATTGTGCACTAGCAAACTTGACTTTATTTGAAATGTTTGCAAATATAATTATGAAGTGTGTAGTATTTGTGGGGTGTTTTGCATAGTAGGTAATGTGAAGTTAATCTCCACAATTTCCATATCAAAGTGGACTGTCGATACAGTTAGTACAATTATTCAAACTAGTGACATACAAAACTTAAACAAACACTGGAGAGTAATGATTTTGGCGAGCAGGTTTTGAAGCACGAGTTGCTGCAGGATTATGGACATTTTGTGTGTTTTCACAGAGCTATGGTTTACAGGACTTAGCCAGTACTTGTACTAATGGAGAGTGAGAGAAAGAAAGCACTTTACTAACAGTGAACACCTCGTCAATCTGTCAACTGATTTGCACTCTGTAACTTTCTGTTATTAACCAGATGCTCAAGGCCTTACCTTTCATGGAACAAATAAAAGGATTGTTGCAATTTTTTTGCAGATGAACACAGCCATTCAGTTCTGTTAAGTTGAAGATGACCTGCTTTTTCAGTAGGACAAATCAAGAATTTGCCAAAGTTAATGTCAAGATTTTTAAAAGCAATTAAAACTTTTACATTTTAAATTTTAAAAAGACAATTAAAATATGTGGCACTATTTAGCATATTGTTCTCTTGCAGTTTCAGTTAGTGAGTCTGCATTGACATCTGTTTAATCAAATGTTTTCTCTTATATCTTTCTATTCATACATATATATATACATCACAATTGGAAGGGTGGGCATTTTGCAGGTTTCAAAGGCGCCTGGGGAACTTATTTGAAAGCCTGAATGCAGTACAAGAAATTACTTATTCCATTGTTTTTCATGGGCTTTTGAATCTACTGCAAATGTATACTCACCACATAATGTCAGTCTTTTTAACTTTCTGGGACACACAGTATACACTGCAATACTAACTGTTGGCTGTTGATCTCATGAATATCAAGTAACCATTTGCAGTTGTATTAGTAATGGCCCATTGACGATCTTTATCAGTGACCTTTGTCCTCCATGTTTGCACTTAGTCCAGCAAACCACTTCTAGTTTAAAAATAAAGCTTTCTGTTTACATTTCTTTTCCACTCTCTCACTCCATCTCTTAATTTAATGCGTTAAAAAAATAACTGTTAATTACTTGCAGGAGTGATATGTTTTACTGTGTGCTTACTTTATGCTTTTTATACTGACGTGTTTGTTTTCTCTTGCTCTACAGGTAAGGCACTGTGTGAGAATGCGAATGGAGGAGACTACGGAGTACCATCCCCTGGTCCTGCCTTCAAGGAGGTCTGGCAAGTAAAAGTTTGGCCTAAAGGTCTCGGTCAAGCCAAGAACCTGGTTGGCATCTACAGACTCTGCTTAACTGAGAAGACTGTCAACTTTGTCAAGCTAAACTCAGATGCAGTTGCTGTCGTGCTCCAACTGATGAATGTGAGGCGTTGTGGCCATTCTGAAAACTTTTTCTTTGTGGAGGTAGGCCGTTCTGCTGTAACTGGCCCTGGAGAGTTTTGGATGCAAGTGGATGATTCAGTGGTAGCACAGAATATGCATGAGACTTTGCTGGAAGCGATGAAGGCCCTGAGTGAGGAGTTTCGTCAGCGTAGCAAGTCACAGTCAACTGCTGCAGGAGCAGGAGGTGGCACCACTGCATCAAATCCCATCAGTGTTCCGTCTCGACGCCATCACCCGAATCCTCCACCCAGCCAGGTTGGATTCACGAGACGTCCTCGTACTGAACCACCTGGTTCTACTGCAGGATGCAATAATACTTCCCCAGCTTCTCGTCACAGCTTTCCCCGTACTCGAACATCTAGTGATGGTGCAAAAGTTGATGATGGGGGATGTGCAACAACTGGAGAAATTATGCCATGCTCAAGTCCCACAACCAATGGTTCAGTTTCAAATACCCCAATACTGAGATCAACATCTGTCCGTGCTTCAACTCCAGTTAAAGCACAGCATGCACTTATGAGATCCACCTCAACCCCAGCTCCTTCGGCTGCTCCAAGTATGCCCTCTGGCTCAGTTCATGGATCTGAGTTTTGTGCAACTGGAACTGGGACAGGCAACAGTGGTGGGGGAGCTAATGGTAGCATGTACAGTAGACTACCTCTCCGACAGCCATCTGTCTCTGGTTCCCTTAGTGACTACGGATCCTCTGATGAATATGGCTCCAGCCCTGGTGAACATTCTCTGCTAACCCCAACAATGCAGGCAGGGTTTACTGCTAGTTCAGGTAGCAATTCTCTTGGGGATGAAGCATCAAACTATATTCTCATGAGTCAGAGAGGTTCATCAAAATCTCAAACAAGCCAAAATGCTTTGCCACAGACCAGGAGGGTTTTGAGGCGCTCTTCTAGCAGAGAATGCGAAGCAGAGCGCAGGATAATGAGCAAGAGGGCTTCTCTTCCACCCATGGCCTTAGAGAGACTTGCACCTCTTCGTCGAGCTGGGGAAGAAGCTGTTGAAGAGGATGACTATGCAATTATGAACCAAACCAGCAGCCGAGAATCCTTTGTAGCAAGGCAGGATTCAGGACCATCAACAAGTGGAACAGGATACTTGGAGGTTGCTGCAGAGATCAAGGGTGATGGTGGTAGCAGTGACACAGGTATTACTGCTGTTATTGGAGGAGCTAAGGGAGCAGTAGATAATGGCTACATGTCCATGTTACCAGGAGTTACTGCTCCCCCAGTATCCCTTTCTCATTCCCTGTCAGTAACAGTTTCAGACTCAGACTCAAAATCCGCTGATGATTATATGGCCATGACCCCCAATAACAGCATTTCACCTCCACGGCAGATTCGTCCACCTTCTGGCACAGATGGCTACATGATGATGTCTCCCAACAGTAGCTGTTCACCAGACCAGCGAGGGGTCCCTACTGCCTGGATTGGCAGTAGCAGTGCTGATAGCCGAACTGGCAGTGACTACATGAATATGTCACCCATAAGTGCTCGGTCTGCCAATAGTACTCCACCCCCACCCGAGCCCCACACTCCATCTGACCAGCATTCTAATCAGCCTCAACCGAAAATGGTATATTCTTACTATTCTCTACCACGCTCCTACAAACATAATACTTCAACACACTTTGAGGAAGGGCCTGGAAGAGGGAAGCATTTGGTTAATGGGGGTAAAGGCATAGGAGGAGGTAGGGGACTTTGTAATAGCAAGTCTAAGCATCAGGAACCCCTTGTTGGTCGACATCTGTCCCTTTCATCATCCTCATACTCCTCCAGTTCTGCTAGCAGTGAGAGCTTGGGTGAAGGTGAAGAAAAGGCCATCAAAGGGACTGGAGGAGCAGCAGGCGTTACTGCAAAGGATATTGAGCGAGGATCTTTGCAGCAAAGACAAGGCTCTGGAAGGGCGAAGCAAGGTCATTCTGGTCACAGAGGTCGGCCCCTAAGTTTATTTGTAGATGTCAATAAAGCCAACACTTTACCCAGAGTCCGTGAGACACCTCTACTTCCTGAGCCTAAGAGCCCTGGGGAGTATGTCAGCATTGAGTTCAAAGGTGAGAGAAACCAAAAGGCAGAAGGTAATGGAACCAGGGGATTTCGACAAGATGCTTCTCTTCCACCCAGTTCTCACCGCCACTTACCTAGGCCAACCTCTTGTGTTGCCGGGTTCTTACAATTCTCACAAAGCTCCTCCACCCCAATTCCTCCATCAACTGCCTCTGAGTATGTCAATATGGAGCTAGGAGTATCATTATCTCCCTCACCCATCTCTCTTACACCGCTGGGGTTTCCTTCATTCCCTACTCCTCCTGTCACGCCTGCAGCTGCTCCTAAAGCTCATGATGAGCATAGATCGACAGTTCTAAATGACATTGGTGCAGAAAGGGAGATGGCACAAAGAAAAAGCAGGCAGGGATCAGTACCACAGTCAGGAGACTCACCCACATGTGGTGATTACACAAAGATGGCCTTTAGCTTGAACTCAGGCAGCACGTTGAGTTCTACATCACCAAAATCCCCTTTGCTAGACCAGCCTGAGTCAGTAGTTCCAGCCCTAGGTTTGGGTCTGGGACTAGACTTTCCACTTGCAAAAGTCCCAAACCCTGATCATGGGGCTAAAGTTATCAGAGCAGATCCACAAGGTCGTCGACGCCACTGTTCTGAAACGTTTCAAGCTCCTTCCTCACTTCTAGCCTGCCCTTCAACATCATCTTCCTCTGCATTTCCTGATCACACTCAAGTCATTTCCCGCCGGCTTGGTTTAGATGGTATGCTTTGGGGGAACAGTAGCTCATCAGATGTCTCATCTCAGTACATCAATCCTGGACTATCTAGTCTATCTGTGTCACAGACATCATCTATGGAGCAGGGACTCAATTACATAGACTTGGACCTGGCTAACAAGGAAAGCTCACATGCTTCTACAGATGGACAAGCAGCTGTGCACACACCTGCATCCCGTATCTTTTCCTCTGTGCTGGGTGTTGGAGGAGCAACAGGGGGCTTAGTAGGAACTGGAGGTTCAGGCAGTAATGCTTCAAACCTCAACATGTATGCTAGCATTGACTTCTACAAGTCAGAAGAGCTACGGACACACCAAGGTAGCAGCAGCAACAGCAGAAAAGATGGTACAGGTAAGATCAACTCCAGTCTCAATATTAGTTTAGTCTAAAAAGCATTGAAGTATGTTTGTTGTGTAGATTACATAAGTTTGTTCTTTGCTGAAATAATACAAATATAAGAAATAACAGATCTTATTTTATTCAGAAGCTAAATATTTTATTGGTTATTTCCCTCGGTCCACTGATCCTCCTGTTCAGAATTACAGCTTGTGTTTTAATACACTTTGTCTAATATTTCAAAAACTGAACTGATAATGCATGACTGTGGTGTTGCTTTGGTAAAATGCATATGTAAATGTTAAATGCCATGCAAGAAACCAAGGAGACCAGCCTTCGTAAAGGAACTTTTGTTATGATTCAGCTTGTAGTTTTGTGGAATATATAGATTTCTTAAATGAAAAGGCTTAATCATGACCCTTAAGGCAGTAGTTATGTTAATTACATTAAACGATTCCATAAGAGATATGCCAGCTTGTTTGATGAAGTGTAATTAATTAGCACCCCTTAAACACAAATAATAAGGACTACAAGATCATGTGTCTAATTTCTTTTCCCTGTGTGGCTGTGTTTGCATTGTTTTTTTTTATCTCAGCTGTAGTTCCACTGTCAATAACAGGCGATGATACACTGGAAACAGAGTACAGGCTGTTCCATAACAAAACTTTATGAGGCCATGGTTCACTTTTGTTCTTTATTCATATCCACCTGGTGCCTCTAGATACAGGAGCCACCTGTCTGCCAGGCATTACAATGCCAGCAGTACTGATCAGGGAGCAATGGAAAGTTCCCTTTCACAAATCGCATAACCATTGGTTTTGTCTGCCGCCTCTGTCATTCCCCAGTTTCCTAAATTTGATATACCATTTTATATTCGTTTTTATAAATTCCCAGTGTTTATCTTTGAGCTAAAACATTAAAGTGTCCTGGAAAGCTATGTTTATAGAAGGTTTACAATGACAGGGTAAAAGGCTAAATACAGTCTACCGTTACTGAGTTTTTGAGCTCCCTTTGCCTGTTTATAAATGCTCTTATGGCTATGTGGTTAGATTCGGGTTTGCCGTTCAGTGATAGGATGTTTGCATGCATTGTTTTTTTGTACAAATAGTGACAGTGCAGGCGAACCGCATATGTCTGAATCTCCGTGTTCAGTTTGTGTTGCACAAGAAAACAGTTACTCTTGGGGAATAATTGAAGCTTGCAATGGTTGTTTGTGGAAATCTCTGATCTCCACTTTCTTAGCCTTTTGCTAAAATGTTGGCGTTCTTGATTTGGAGCCTGTTCTTAAAGCACAGTGAAATTATCATGGAGTTGAACACTAAGGGACAGATACGGGCTCAGCAAGTGGGTGAGTGAGACTTACGCAGTTCGTGGACAGCATGGCATTGGCGCTGGGGGGGAATGCGGCGAGTTGGCTGTGAATGTTGAGAAAAGGCCAACACTGCGCTGGCCCAGTGTGGCCACAACCACAAGCCCCCCTTTTCTACATGTAATAAATGATCCTTTTGTTCGTGGCTTTCCTCCCTGGCTGCTGTGTGTGTGTGTCTGTTTGTGCCCTCGCGTGTGTGTTTCAGCTCCAGTAGGCTTGAACTCATCGCTCCCTTCCTCCTTTTTTTCCCTTGCCTTTTAATAAAACGTTTGAGTGGAGTAAGAGCACAGACAAAAATAGATTTTTGGGAGAGAAGGCAAAATGGGAAAGTCCCCCCCCAATTTGATGAAGGATTAAAGCAAGTGTGTGGATGAGGGAGAGATAGTACAAGGGTGAGAAAGAGATGGCACAATAGGAGTGAAAGTGAGAAAGCGAGAGACACAGTGTGCCAATGGCAGATGGAGAAGAGATGAGAAAGAAAGTGAGAGACCGACCAAAGGGACTGGCTTTTGGTATTTGGTGGGAGTTGAGGAAATGGTTCTGTATGAACATTTCAGGGTTCATTTGTTTGGGTTTTCAGCACTTTAAGGGGAACAACGATGAAAGCAGTTTCACTGGCTGTACTCCAATTTGGGTCTCGCTGGCCACATCCAAACTCCCACTAGCAGTCGAAGGAAAGAAAACAGAGAACGGGAAGAATTAGAGGTTGTGATATTGGGAGGAAAGCGGTGGGAGAGAAAGTTGAGGGTGAAAGGAATGGCAGCAGAAATAAGATTTTTGCTATATAGTAGAGTCTTTTATTTCTTGTATGTGCAAGAGGGAGAAAATAACCTCTTATAGACTCGGCAGCTTCTTAATATATGCTGCTCAAAATCTTGCAGAAACACCTTCATAGTCATACACACACAAATGCAGAGGCTGTTTGAAGCTTTGGCAGGACTTCGTTTTGGCTGTGTGGTTGTGCCACGTGTATGCCTTAGAGAGCAGTGGATTTAGACTGGAGCAGCTGAGGTGACTATTTCTGCCGTGCCAATGTCTGTGAGAGGAATCATTCATCCATATCATAACCACAAGACAACATTTACCCAAATGGAGAGTTATGGATAAAGGGAAGCTGAGGTAATTTCTCATCTCTTAATTCAACACACAAATACCCATAACCTCATAATGTACACAGTGAAGCACTTCAGCAGTTTTGTAACGGACCATACACTGATATAGTTGCTTAACTGGCTCACTTTTTTTTTTGCTACTCATGGGGGTTTTGCTTAACTGGATCATAGTTTAGATTTCCGCCAGAGTCTATTTGTACACTTACAGACAAGCATCCATTTATTCATACGATGTTGTCGGTTGTGCATTTGAAAAACTTTGTGTATTTGTAAATGCTACTCAAACACTTAATTTATGCTTTGCATTGACGAAGTGCGTGCACACCCAGCCACATCTGGCTGCATAGATTTGGCGAGGACTGAATATTTTAAAGAAGTCTTTTGGTTTTAAGTACAGATAAATTCAACCCAGGCTTATTCTAAAAATGTACCCCTATATACATTTCTGGAAAGTGCCAAATACGCCCCAGGAGGTACTTTTTTTTTGCAGTTTATGTTTTTGTAAGTCCGACAGAGGCCATAATGTATGCTTTTTAAGATCTCGATTTTCTCGTGCGAGTGCCATTCATGCCTGCCTGTTTTGCAAAAATCCACCGGAATCTGCTGTTGACTGACTGACTGACCAACTGACTGACATACCCTCCTCCTTCCCTAAACCTAACCAATAGTGTTTTCAAAACCACCGAATGACCCACCCACCCTTCTCCCGAAACCCAAGCGACAGTGTTTTCAAAAGCAATCCTGACTTTTACCACGCTTTTAGATTTTACCACATTCTCACCCTGTTATTTACTTGTTTATTTGATTTTTGGGCTTTTTTTTTTTTGTCTTATCTGCTTTCTGGAACTGTTCTTCACTAGACTTGAACCCAGTCATCATGATCAACTCCTCTCTGCATCCACTGGACAAACTGGTAACAGCAGAATTGTCGTCCATACAAAGGTAATCGGTTAGCTTTTAACGCGAAAAGGAACAGCGTCATACCGCCCCATAGCGTTTGTTTTAAAGATGAAATAGAGCTATACGTACCTCTGGCTACATAATTCACAATCTCCAGAAATGTATATAGGGCTACGTTTCCAGAATGAGCCTATGCTGGATAAATTGACAGTATTATGTTGATGAATTTAAGAATTATTTTTAACCTGTTCCTCACATTGCATTATTGCTTTAATAACTGCAAGCAATTAATGAAAAAATGATCATGATATGTGATCCTGATACAAATTAAAACAAAACTTCATGGCCAACTCGCTCAATTCCTACAAGCACATGTATTAGTGTTACTGTTTTTTAAGTTTATTTTTTACTATCCCTTATTAACTGTGTACTTATTTAACTGATCATTTGTTTTATAATAATTGGTTTATTATTACTGAGAGCTGTAATAAAAAAAGTAAGAAATAATATTGAGTCACCCTTCGGTAGCCCAGAAGGACTCAGAACTGGTTGTGTCTGGTTTGACAGTGGTCAGCCAGACAGTGAATGAGAGAGATGGAAAGTGTGGGTATGCATGAGAGAAAGGGAGATGGAAAGATATAGCGAGAGACGGAAAGGGATTAAAGTTGACAGTAGGTAATCCGAGGTTATTTATGTATGTCCACGGGGAGGAGTAAAGTATGGCCCCGTAGAATTCAGTGTCCTGGCAAACCCTGTTGAGTTGGAAAGTGGACAAGCCAACGCACCAACACATCTTCTGGAACACAAGAGGTTCTGTTCATTAATCAGAATAGGATTCAGACGGCAGTAAATGTGTCTCTGCTGCTTATGCTCAGTTCAAGTTTATCTGGTTAGCTCTTTTGATGATGCACAACATTTCAAAGCATGACAGAAAGAAAGCATCATTCTAGTTTACGATTAATAGTAATGTGGTTATCAAAGGTCAAATGAATAATGTCCATAATGCAGAATTGTATGATGTAAGCCTGCAGATAATAATGGTGTACTTTAATCAAGATTAAAGTGATCATTAATAAATGCAATACAAGGAACATTTTAAGTTGGTTTACAAAAGAAATTGTGATCTGCATCTGCACTCATGAGAAAAGTCTTCTTATTTTCTTTAATTTTATGTTCACCGTAGTGAAAAGACACAAAGCCAATGTACAAAGCAATTCAATCCCCCACCGAATGAAGTCATCATTAATTAGACTTCATTCAATTACTACAATCATTAACTCACTCAATGATTTCCATCAGTAGCTTATACACCATGGCCAAAAACAAGAAATATCCAGGATCATAAATACATCATCATTACACAAATCAACAGTATAAGTGAACATTCATCAATATCTAATTCACTAATCAACTTTCAATTGCATTACAATGGAAATTCAATGATTGAAAACCATGAGAATTACATCATTGTCTTTTACAAAGGGAACACTTGTGATTTATTTAATACAGTATTAAAGATGCTTTCAACTAGTTGTAATTCAATAAAGGAAAAGCAGTTCTGCCATTTTGGTCAGTGATTTATGTTAACTTTGTGAATCCATAATGCTTCTTGTTTCAATAGTTTGTTGTTCACA